GGATGTGCCCTTGCTCAGGCGTGGAGGGATTTTTATAAGGATACCCCAGTGCCCTGTGTTACTGTGCCCTCCTGGCACAGTAGTCAGAGGCCATGTCAGCTGCTGCCATGTTGCTCAGTTGCAAATACACCTTGTCCCTAGAGTTGTCTGTGGGGATGCTGATTTGGTTCCTGAAGGCTGGATTGTACCACTGGTTTCCATTCCCTGGGATAATCCCCAGTCACTGCAGCCCCTTCCCTGTCCTTTCTACAACCCCTTCCTTCTCCAGCCCCTCCCGAGACACATGAACAGGCCGAGCAAGCAGGCGCGCTCTCTGGATGTGTGCTGGAGTTTGCACAGAGTGGGCATGGGTGAGGGGTAGCTGGGGGGGTGGGGGGGAAACTGACCCCTAGAGGGAGGAGGGCTGCTTATTGGGGGGATTCCAGGGTGAGGGGAGGCTCCCGGGGTTTAGTTTCCTTGGGGGGGTGGCGATGGTAGGCTTTTCTGGGCAGGCGCAGGGCAAGCCACACCTACGAAGAACAGCTGAAGAGCTGTTGGTAGCCATTGGAAATTCAAACCAGTGCTAGTCAGGCCCAGGTGCCGAAGGAGTTACACGTGTGTGGCAGCATGCGTGAGCCCTCGGCTCCCCCCAACTACAGCACACCAGAGTGGCAGATCTCCTGTGAACGAGGGAGCAACTACAAGGTAAGAGGAAGAGAGTCGGGGAGGGACAAAGAGCTGGGCCAGCTGTAAGGGATCTGGAAGGGTTTTTCCACCCTCCCATCCCCATATAACGGTGCTGGGAGGGGAAGAGGCTGAGCAAACAGGCACACTCTCCAAGGGTGAGCCAGAGTTTGTGCTGGAGTTTGCACAGAAGGACACACAGAAGGGGCCTCAATGCTAAGAGGTGGCAGCTTTGGATGGAGACCACAGGTGAGTAAAACAGAAGGAGTCTTTCAATGGGGGTTATGACATGGTGCTCAGCCAGGGACCCTGTCCCGGTGTCGTCTCCTACCCAGGGCTCCACTGAGGCCTTCACCCAGACAGGGCCCTGGGATGGGTTGGCAGCACCCTGCCCCCCTGTCTGCGAGGGTTGTCTGGTGGGGCCTTTGGGGCCTGGAGGTGGTGGGCTGGGGCAGGAGTCCCCTCACCTGTCCTACTTGTGTCCTGCTTGAGGCCCTGGAGAGGCAGGTGAGAGAACTCCAGGCAGAAGTTACCAAGCTGAGGGGGATCAGGGCTGCAGAGGATGAGCTTGATAGATACTTTAATTCTCTGCAGGATCAGTCCTCTGGTGGAGAGCCTACACAGGAGGGACTCGATGCAGAGGAATGGAAGATGGTCACCTCCAGAGCCAGACATCATGCTGCTAAAACAGTTTCCCCACTGCATCTGGGGAACAGATGCAAGGCCCTGGCAGCACTGGAGGAGAATGCAATGGAGAAAGCCACAGCCACCACCATGCAGGCTGAGGGTCAGCCAGGCAGCTGAAGGAAGAGATACTAAGTCATCGTGGTGGGCTACTCCCTCCTGAGAGGAATGGAGGGACCCATCTGTCACCCTGATTCCATGGCACGGGAGGTATGTTGCCTGCCTGGAGCCCACATCTGGGACATCACTGCAAGGATTCCTGATCTCATCTGGCCCTCTGATTACTATCCCATGGTCCTCATGCATGTGGGCACAAATGATGCAGCCAAGAATAGTGCAGACTGTCTCATGAGTGACTACAGGGTTCTGGGGGCCAGGCTTAGGAAGATGGGGGCACAGGTGGTCTTGTCAATCCTCCCAGTCAGCAGTTGTGGTCAGCATCACAACACCTGCATCAGAGAAGTAAACCTGCGGCTCCAGAGTTGGTGTCGTCATCAAGTGGGTTTTGGCTTTTTCGACCATGACCCGCACTTCCATGAAAGGAGCACCCTAGGACGGGATCATCTTCATCTCTCTTCAAAAGGTGACAGTCTGTTCTCTTACAGGTTGGCTGATCTACACAGGGCTTTAAACTAGGTTCATTGTGGACTGGGGATGCATATGACGGTGACAGTCCACAAACCACAAACCATGCACTGGAACAGCCCGCATAAGTACTAAGGGGCCCAATGAGCATCAGGACAAGGGGGCACCAAGAGCACCCATCGGGGGGCTCAAATGTCTCTATACTAATGCTA